AATAGGGAAAATAATTTATTACCACATAATGAATGCAGTATGTAATAAACAAATTGTAAGGAATAAAATAAAACAAACTCATTTTAATATAAACGCAGCTATACTAATATGTTATATATATATATATATATAATATATATGGTTAAATTTGTACGAATTTAAAATTTGGAACTAAATATTTGAAAAAATATAAAATAGACAAAAAAAGGTATAACGTAAAAAAAAATCAGAGTTCCCATATTAGGAAAAGACAAATGAACATGTATAATACTAAGAGTATTCTTATGTTAGAATATACATGTTAAGAACATTTAATATCAGTGAATGATACAAATTCTGATGATATACATGATTTTTAAATATATTAATAGGCAATTTGTGCCTTCTGGTAAAGAAAATTAGTATAGTTATGGACAATAATATACATCACTTTACATATATTGAAAGCAAAGAAATCTATAACTGCCTGCCGGAAAAAACCGGAACAAAATAAGTAAAGAAAATTATATACAAACGTAGGTCTTAATTACATCATAAATTTGAATATTTGAATCATTTCATGACCCTGTGATGAAATATTCGGTTCCTGCCTTGTAATATTTCCTGACACAAATTTGTAGCTAATTTCCCGATACACGTTAATAATGAAAATATAACATCATTATAATCGTAAAAGAATAAAATTTTTGAATGTTAAAAACTAAATTTGTAAGAAATAAAGGTATTAAATTCTAGTAAAGACTTAGAATAATGTGTAGATATCAAATGTTAATCAATGAAGTAAGAATAGCAGTGAATGGTCGAAGGTGGACTGGAAGCAGAAATTAGTCAAGCACAGGTAACAGATGTGAATCAATAAAGTAATATTAGTAGCCAAGCGTAGGGAACAAACGTTGATGCTATATGATTAATGCTTTATATTATACTATGAATTGAGTAAATATCCTAAATATATAAAGCAATACTTGGAAAAACATAAATTTATATATAAACATTTGGTTCAGGTTATAAGCATTTATTGTGAAGAACATATACCATGAGCAATTGCAAACAAATCTAACTATTTACACGGCTGCCATCTATGATATTAAGGAATTTATGCCATAGGTAAAAAAAATTAATATACAAATAAAATATTAAAAAATTCTACAAAAACAATGTGTATTCTTTCTAAATCTCTAAGTACAACTCATATGGCTAATAATTAATAACAATAATTTTTTGATAAATAAAGGGAATAAATTGTAGTAAATTTTTGAAAATTCTGTATTTGTCAAATGTTTGTGAATCAAATAAGAAAAATAATGAATGATGGACGGCGGATTGGAGGGGAAAAATAGTAAGGGGCCTGTTAAAGAAGCAACAAAGTACAGAACATAGGCATATATAGAATCGGGAGGGGGGGGATAAATCAAGGGAAAAAATGATAGAATTACATAAAAAAGAATGGGAATCTAATAGTTTATCCAATATATCTAACTATATTAATATATCATATACATATATTAAAGCAACGTATAGAAATAAAATATACTTTACATTATACTAAAAATTAAGTAGAAATCATAAATAAATAAATAAATAAATAAACGCTTGCAAAAACATAAGATTATATATAAGTATTTGGTTCAGGTTATAATCATTTATCGTAAAGAACATATACCATGAGTATTTGCAAACAAATGTAGCAATATACACGGCTGCCATCTATATTATTAAGGAATTTATGTCATAATTAAGAAATGTAACAACAAGTAGTATGATTTAGAATAATAATATACAGTATTATTATACATATACTAAAGGAGATGACGGATTAACTGTTTATGGTACAGTGAATCCATAGATACAAAATAAAATATATTGGCATAAGTCCAAAATAATAAGGGCAACATCAATGATAGCCACATCTGTATTAACATTTACTCGGCACATGTTAACAATAAACGAAATATAACATCATCACAATCAGGAAATAATGAAATGTTTTAATATAAAAAACCAAAATTTTGATGAAGGAAGGTTTTATTCAAGAAAAAACAGACGGGAGTATAGTAAATAGAGGTACAGACATAACCATTTTTTTTACTACAAAATTACAGAAAAACTAAAACGAAAGGCAAAATAAAATATATTGGCATAAATCCAAAATAAATAGGGCAACGTCAATGATAGCCATATCTGTATTACCAATTACCCGGCACATATTAATAACAAATGAAATATAACAGCATCATAACCAGAATAGAAGAAATTGTTTGGATATAAATAAGCAGAATAAAATATGTCATATAACAAATAAACACAACATTATAAATCAATATTTTGAAAGATTTCAATGAGAGCAAATTACAAAATAAGTACCTGATTCAACGAACCGCAGGCAGAAGGATAGAGTAGAGAAAGCAACCAATATTACTGAGCAGTAGAAATAGATCAAAAAATTATGAAGGAGACGGTAAGATTAGTAATAAATAGCCAGTATCATTAACCTCTTTAAACAGTGAGAAAGTAGAGAGAATAGAAGAGAAAGGTAAAATATGTCGTATAACAAACAAAGATAACATTATAAATCAATATTCTGAAACATTTCAACCAAACAAAATTGAAAAATAAGTACATGATTCAACGAACCGCAGGCAAAAGGATAGATCAGAGAAAGCAACCAATATTACTAAGTAGCAGAAGTAGATAAAATGATTATAAAGGAGGCCGTAAGGTTAGTACGAAATAGCTAGTATCATTAACCTCTCTAAACAGCGAGAAAGCGGAGAGATTAGAACAGAAGTGTAAAATATTATGGCAACAGATTTACAAACAATATATATACATAAAGTTACCAACCTTTTCCTTAATGCCAAATACAAATCCATGCAAACAAAAACTAATAGAAGTAATTATTAATGAACGACAGGCGTCTAATAGCATGAACACCACCGCAAACCGCAACCAGTAAATAACAGACAATTAAATCGTAAATATGTATTATACAAACGAAGAGATAAAAATTGCATGTGTCCGAATAAAAAATTAACATAAATAATAATACGCGTAAATGACGACAAATATTACAGAAAGAAAATATAAAAAAAAACATATATCTGAAATAAATAACCAAGGCCCTAAAATCTTAAGGAAAAAAAAAAACCAAACCGATGACGAAGATAACAAACGGCACAAAAACAGATAAAATGACCATGCATATACAACGAAAGAGAAATATCAAATTATCTATATTGGTACAAAAAGGGGAAAAAAAATTTGCACAAAATTACAGAAGGAAAGAATGTGAAAACCCAAAAAATGGCGTCCAAAAATAAAAAAAAAAAAACAAAACAAAAAGATGTAGAAGGTTGTAGAAATAAATAAACAAAAAAAAGGGAAGTTGCTGCAGAAACGGAAAAACAAAACCAGATCTAGAAGATTGTAAACAAAACAAAGGTGACAGAAGAAAATGAGATGATAACCAAGAAAATGTGGCCCAGGTATGAAGACGCAGGAAAAATAGATCTAGAAGATTGCAGAAAGGAAAAAACCCCAAAATAATCAAAAATATGAAAATGGAGAGGAGAAAGGACACTGTAAATTTACTGTAGCATGAACAGTAAATCCGTCGTCCTCTCCTTTAGTACACGTATAATGTACAATAATTATTTCTTTCACTTCTCTTTCCTCCGTTATTACTTTCCTGTTTTGGAGTGACTTTGAATTACGAATATTTTGACTATTAGGAGTTAGTCTCGTTGCCATTGTTCATTAGTTGAATTTATAGTTCCTAGACTTTCAAAAAGCAAATAATCTTTTTCTTAGATATGTTTTTTTTTTTATATATTTTTTTTCTTTTGCGGAAATTGTCTTTTAGATTTGCCTGACTAGCTAGCTTGTAGTTTGTGCCGAGAAGTAATAAATTTATGTGGCTACCAAGTAATTTGCTGAGTGGCCCCTGGCAATCTTGTGGTAGTTTCCTCAAAATTAGAACCGGTATTAAATGCACATAAATATATGCTTTATGTCATGTCAAAAAACTAATTACTTTGACACTTTTAAAAAGAAAAATAAACAGCTATTGCTTTGTTGTTAGGGAAATAATTATTGATAGGTTATGTTTTTTTAATAATTAAATTTATATATTTTTTTATTTTTATATAATTTTATATAAATTTGACCCACGTACAAATTTATCGGTATTTTAACGTATCATCCCTTATTATTATACGACATATTAATTCTTACAAAGCATGTGGTCTAAATACGAATAAATAATAAATAAGGGGAATCGTCTCTATGTGAATATCAATAAATAATAATGACTTTCTTCAAAAAAAAAAAAAGAAAGAAATTGCTGGAAATAAAAAAAAAAAAAAGAGGAACCAGTATTTGTCCAAAAAAAGAACAAAGGAGAAAAATTAGACTGGGATTTTCTTTTTTTTCTTTTTCAAAATATTGACATTTGTTGATTGAGGAACTTCAAGTCTTTAAGTAAGCAAAAAAATAATGTACAGTACTCATTGTACAGATCACCGGCCTTTCTTTTCATAACGTTTGCATTTTAAAATACCATCTTTCCGCCATAAAATATCAGCCTTTGTTTGGAACTTTTTTTTTTTTTTTAATAATTGCCTTTGTTTGGAACACTATTAACACGTAGATGTACACACCGTGCGAGAGACGTTAACGTGTGACAAAAGCCATATAACTAAATGAATCATGAATTGCCTCGCTAAATGCCAACTGGGATTTCTTCTCGCGTTTTTCTCTTCTTGACTCCTCTACCAAGCCACCAAAAACAAAATAAAAAGACCTCTATATATAACCCCCATAACTGCTCTTTTGATACATTTTCAGATCGTCAAAATCTAAAAGACAATTTTATCTTCTTTTTTTTTTCTCTACTCTCTGACCAGGTTTGATTGGATTCTCTTGAGACCGGCCAAGACAACCCAAGAAAATATTACATTTTTTTTTTCTCTAGGCTCTCTAGCTAGCGAAGTTTTGATTCAATTATCAAAATGCCCAAGATGAGCTTTCCCATGTGGAGCAAACTGAAATCTCTGGATACAGAAACAGGTGAGTTTTTTTTTCAAACCATATTCATATGAAACATATCATCTCATGGAAAATAAGATTTGCTTCCAATCCGTCAAATGCCAGTTTGTTCACGGGTTTTCAAGGTAATTTAAGATTAAAGATCCAAAAAATTGTTTTGTGACGTGAATTGTTTTTTCTCTTTCATAATAAACAAATTAGAGAACCGGGGGTAGTTTGTAATTTTGCACAAGCAATATATGATCACGCAAAACGTGTTTTGATATAGTAGTTAAGGAGTTTGGTTGTATGACGTTTAATGTTTTGTGTATTGGCCGTGTTGCTAACTGTGTTATGGTCTCAGGAAAGTCACGTAAGGACCGCGGAAATAGCTTGTCAACCAAGTCAAGCGTGGATGAGGAATACTTGAAAGCCTTCAGATCAAATTCCTACGAAGAAATGTGGGACAAAGTTCAGGGGCAGTTAGGAATAACAAGCGCTACTACTAGTACTGGTGCCGCATTTTCGCCATCATCCTTGTCTTCACCTTTCTATTTGGACCTCTCCGAATATTTGCTCGAGCCGCGGCAAGAAACCCTAAAGAGCATGATTGAGAGCCTAAATTTCCATCTCCTTTTGGTCGAGTACTTTGAGGCCAGCCTGCGAGCTTGCAACATCTGCGAACTACTTCTCCGAAGCATCAAACAAGCTCGCTCTGATTACCGGAAAATCAAAAGGGTGATCAAGATGAGCAAAAGGGTACTAGTGCTTGATCATGATCAATATGATGATCATTCTCAATTACTTCATAATGATCAATGTTCCCGAGCTGTATTCAGAGAGCTTGGTGCAATCGCACTGCTTAAAAACCCTTTGTCAATCATTAGCCCGGCGCAATACCATGATATTCGCGACGGGTACATGGTTTTGCTCCATAAATTAACATCAAAAGGGAAGAAGATCAAGAGGAGAGAGAAGCTGAAAAGGCTTTGCAAGAAAGTTGGAGGAGCTGGGCTTGTGGTGACGCATAGTGCATTGTTGATTGCCTTGTTGGTATTTGCATTTCATGGCGTGTTTGGCATTGTGGCAGCGCCGGCTCTAGTGGGCTGTTCCTCAGTTTATTTGGCCAAGAAGAAGAAGAAGAAGAGAGCCATGGATTCACAGCCGCCGAGATTGCCTGGAGGCGGGCTCGGCAAGCAACTTGATATGGCGACCAAAGGGGTTTTTATACTGATCAATGATTTTGATACCATGTGTCAAATGGTGAGAAGATTACATGACGAAGTCGAACACCGCAAATCCGTTGCTGATATTTGTGTGAGGAATAGAAAGTTTGAGCTCCTAAGGGAGGTTGTGAGGGAATTTCGGGATGAGGAGCCTAGCTTTATGGAGCAGTTGGAAGAGCTTGAAGGACATATTTACCTTTGTTTACTCACCATAAACAGATCCAGAAGGCTCGTAATTCAAGAGATAATAGCTACCCAAAAGTGATAATTGTGAATTAAGATGGTACAACATATACTACATGTCAAATTAATTAGAGGTGAATGAAGTTTGATGGACTTTGGTCAGCCAAAACCAAGTGAAATGTGGGTGAATTCTTTCATGAATTTAGATGCTGTATGCATGGGTTAAGTCTGCCCATGATTCACTAGCGGGCATGCGAGGACAGGCTGTCGCAACTAGCTGTTGACTTATTAAAATTCCTTGTTTTTTTTTTCCCTTGTTTTATTCTTTGAATATTGCAGAACTCTGTCTTCAATGACAAATGTTGAAGCCCTTTTGGTATTATATAGCATATACAACATTCAATGAAAACAAACTTTGTTTTGATATGTTTTACATCGACTATTACTCTTACTCATATATCATCGCATGATTAGTTCGAAATTAAGATGTAATTTGCCCAGATTTATATGAGCCAAATTAAAGGCTCGCAATCACAAATTGGAATAAACAAAAGATGGTTTATTATAGGGAAAAGAGTACATAATAGTTGTTTTTAGCGGAAAATTCAGCCCTTCTAAAAATGAAAAAAAAAAAAAAGAAAGATTTGCCTATGCCTTCCATACGTGAGTAGTCAACAAGTAAAACTGTAAATGTAAATTGCGAGTACTTATTAATCTAGTAATTGCCTCATATATTGTTGAGAAAAGTATATTTATGTGTTATTCCACATAAAAAATAAATAAGAATGTCAAGTGATTTATATACATTAAGGACTCAATACTCAAAATATTAATCTTTTGGGCTTTGGAAGTATATTGCACCAGTTTCATATGTTGTTTCTCCCCAACATATATAACAAATTATTTCAGAAAAATTAACAAGCAATATTCTAAATTCTTCTTTTTTTATGGATGTTCTGAATTCTTATAAATTTATATTCAAAGGAAATAAAAAAAACAAAAAACAAAAGAAAAGGCAGCTGCGATAGTGATAGGCACAGCAGGAAGAAGCCAGATGTAAAAAATGTCCGAGGAAATTGGATAGTAAATCAAGTAACGAATTAATAATGGAGGGAACAATAATTATTTCCTCAAACGAAATGTATAAACCCTTTGAAGCTGATACAAAAGCGCAAGACCAAAATTTATGCTTCTTTTCTCTATAATGTTAAGCCAAATTCAGACCAAAAATTGAAAGAGCAGACTTTGCAGACTCAACAAATTTCCCGTAGTTTTCTATATTCCTCAGAACCCAACAATGAATCCTTGATCCTGAGCCAATCTGCTGGTTTTGGCATCATAATGGCTATATATCCTTCTCTATCTGCCTGAAAAGAAGCAAAGGACTTAATAATGAGGGGATAATACAAATGTTAAGCAGCTAATGCAAACTAAAGATGTCATCAAAGGGACAGAACAAAGCAATCAGAATTCCGAAGGTGGAAAGATAAAAAGACCTTAAACGGAGTTCTCAGTCCGAGTATCCAAAAGCCTTTTCTATTACTTTTCAAAAACCCAAAAGCCTAAACTATCAGCATGTATGCTACCATCATGGCAAAAAATAGCGACACTAATTTTCTCTATTGGATCACCATCATCATCTAATTTAAACATCTACAAGTGTAACACATATCGCAACTTTCAATTCTCAGAACTGACAGCTTTCCAGTCGGACGTCTAAAAACAATACTTTCCTCACAATTTTCTGGTTGCAAACTTAGCCAACCGGTAATTCCATGCCCACGTCAATGTTGAGGATTGGAGTTTGAATCTCTTACACACACACACACACACTCGTCACAAACTCTAAGGAAGATAAATCCTTCAAGAGAACTAACAGATGTCTCTTGTAAGTAATTCCATTACTTCTAGGATATTAGCCCCCACTGGCCACCCCAACTCATTCTCATTGATTGTTTACCCCGAGTCCCCGACCTGCATATCTTTTCTTTCTATTTTACTGTCCAAGACTTTCTAGCATGAAAATTGTTACAAGAAGGCAGAGCAGGAAGAGTTTCCCCTCAAGAGCACGTAGAAATTGAGATTAAGAAGAATCTAACAATAATACTAGCCTAAACGACGATGACAAGAAATGTTTACAAATCAATCATTCAACTAAGCAAAGCAAAAAGGATTCAATGATCCCGTAATATTTTCGTACTTATATTCCCTCTTTCATGATTACTTCAATAATCAATAAATGAATTTAAGCCAGGGAATAAAATTAGAAGAGTATTGAGTAATTCCTTTACCGATGAATTAAGCAATTGTGGCTGCTTGATTAACCTGTCATTTACTTCCAATAGAGAGCCTTTCACGCAACACCTGCCAAAAGTCACTTCCACTTCTCAACTTAATATCTAAAAACAAGTAGAAGCAAAACCAACAAAACACTGCAAGATACACAATAACAAAACAAAAAATGGTGGATATAAGGGAAAGAAAGGAAAAAAGAAAAAAAAGCTTTCACCTTATAATATATGAGGCGTCCTTTGTGCAAACTTTACATAGAGCCGTATTCGACTCAAAGTGCTGTGCATTCTGAAAAATAAGAACAAATTATTGGCGCATTTAGAATTCATTCTAAAATGATTTTATTTTTAATATGAAAATAAAAACATTTTCAATTTTAAACAAAAATTATTTTTAAAAATGCATTTAATAATTTTATTAAAAAATTATTTTAAATATAAAAAAAATTATTAACGTCTCTTTCTCTCTCAGCTCTCAAAAAATAAAATAAAAATAAAAAATAATTAAAAAGTCATTTTTTATTTTCCTCTCATTTTTACACTAAATTAAAAATTCACTTTCATTTTTATTTTTTATCTTTATTGCGTTTTAAAAACGTTTTTTTTCTTAAAAAACATAAAAAATAAACAGAAATAAAAACGAAATCAATTCGCCTATATAATTTCGTTACCAATAAACCTTGCCTTCTTTCTCTCATCAAAATTGTTTTTTTTTTTTTTTTTTGGGAAAAAATTGATAGCAAACTTAGTAAAAGTACCTTCTTGCGCTTTCCGGTGACCTTAATCCCACTGCGATCAGATTTTCCGACATTGAAATCGACGGCCGTGATTCCGCCTTCGACTTTAAAAGCCACATGCGTGGGAGCCAAACCGATCACACACAATCTTTTAGCAGGGGACCAAAAACGAATTATTTACAAAAGAGGAAATTTTGATGGATAATAAACCAATATTCAAAGAGCAAAAAGGAATTTCGATTTTTACCCATTGGGATGACGATAAACATACTGATCGTGTCCCGGCTTCATAAAATCTGAAAAATAAAATTTAAAAAAAAAAGAAGAAGAAGACAAGATTTAGGGTATTAACGGCTAATTTTGGAGCAATTTTATTTAAATCATTTTGGCGATTGAAATAAAAAGAGAAGGAAACCTGGAGCAAAATAGGAGACGAAGTTGGATTGAACAGCGGAAGGAGGAGTCTGAGGAAGGTCGCGAACATCTGGTAGCAGAAGTCTTTGTAACTCTTCTTCTTCTTCTTCGTGTGTTGATTTGCTTTTTTGGGTGCTTTGGTCTTCCATGGTCGAATCTACCGCAGCTTCGAAGTCCATCTCAAGTACACACTAAACTCGTATGATTCCCAACTTCACAGGTTAAAAAAACAGATCTCTTTTCGGAAAGCTAACGTTGTACTTGTTGTTAAGATCTGATTGGCTTAGCTATTTAACTTAAAACTAAATACCGATTATCAGAAAAACTTAATATTACACTAAAGACAATAAATAAATAAATAAATAAGTGGTAGAGAAAAAAAAAAAAAAAAGGAGCATATGCAACAAAATTAATGATAATAATGATTGCGTGGTTAAAAGACATGAGATAAATATTAAGGTAAGGCTTATATATAAAGTGACATAGATAAATATGATAGGTATGCAAATCTAAAAGGAAGAATTTGAACCACTAGATTAAGTTAAAATAATATAGGATAAAAGAGTATGAGAAATGTAATAAAAGCTGATAATAAAAATTTGCTGATTCTAAACCCTTCCTTTTTCAACAAATGACAAGTTTGCCAACTTCTTAAAAAAAAAAAAGTTTAGATACAATAATACTTTTATTTGTCTGTCTGAAAAAAATTTTATACTAATTTAAAACAGAATTTTCTATCTGGAGAAAAAACTATAAACAAGAAAATACATAAATAAGAGCAGGAAAAGAAAAAATGTTTTTGTTTTTTTTGGTGGGGGATAAAAAAATCGACAGGTTGAAGAAACGACATAGAACAATTGACAGCAGATATAAAAACGACAATATGCCTGAAAACGTAGAAAACGACCATAGCAAGAAAGAAGTCGGCCAGTGAACACGATAAGGACATTAATAAAAAAAAAAAAAAAAAAAAAAAAAAAAAAAAAGGAGAGATTATTATTAGTGATGCCTCTTCATTTTTAGTTTATTTCTTAAATTTTAAAAATTGTTATTTTACTCTATGAATTTTGAATTGTTCTTATTTAACTCATTTTGTTGTAATTTCTATAAAAACAGATAGAATAAAATAAAGTAATGCAGTCACATAATCTTTTTGTTTGAATTTTTATTAAAAACAAATAGATAAAAACCTATGTCATTGTGTTTTTATGGTCACACTTAACTCCGTTTTTTTCTGTCTAATTTTAACAAAAAATTCTTATAAAAGAGTTTAAATGGGACAAATGTAAAATTTTTAGGGACAAAGTTAGAATTTTTAAAGTTAAGGACGTAAAGTGAGAATGATCTCAAAATTTAAGGGGCTGCCAGTGAGATTAATCCTTAAAAAATGACGAAGTCGACCACAGGCTAAAATTTAAGGAAGAACGGCATGATTGAGAGAGTATTGAATAGAGAAAAGCTCCAACATGAAGAAGGCTCCCGAATGAAGTTCTCCGACAGTTGAGCTTGTACCGAAGGAAGTCCAAAAGGGATATACCTGACACAGAGAAAGGCTTCGTTCAGCACACCTGGACGCAAAGGAAATGCTCCGAGAGACATGCCTTACACGAAAGGAATCTCCATTAGGCATGTCAGGCATGAATGGAGGAAGTTTTGGGGATATGCCTGTCACGGACGACGGCTCCATTAAGTATTTCCAACATGAATGGGACCTTCGTTAGAGTTAAAACAGTGAGTTTCAAACCTTGACCGGTAGGAAAAAACTCAAGGCATGGACTTTGGGTTTTGGGTTTCCAAAAAGACAGGGGAAGACTTTTTGGGAATTTTTCATCACTTATTTATTATTAATTCAACTAATGTGAAAATCCCTAAGTGGGATTTAAATTAATACTGAATTAAATTATAAATAGACCTACTTGATCACACATGACCCATTAAATCATAACCTACGTGAATTCTCTGAACGTGGCTTGGATTCACGAAGCGAGCTCAATAACGTCACGTGACGCAAAAATTAGGCCTGAACCGCAAAATGAGTCTGGTACAAAATCGGGTATCAATACCTATCATATTAAATGTGATCTTTACACACATTCATTGCTAAAATAAAGTTAATAATTTAAATAACTGTATAAATAAATTTTTGATTATTCAGTAAATAATAAATTTCAAGTAACTCCAATACGACGATACATGTTAAAAAACTAGTGAAATAAAAAGACGGTCATTTTTTTAAATTTATTGTTGTTTTTTCTTTTTGAAGGTTTTGTTGTTGTTAAAATAAGGTGTCCTTACAAGTTTCTTGCCGTTGTTTCTCATGTACATTTTTCTATCGTTTTTAAGTGAGTAGGTGTCATTTTTCTATCGTGGGAGCCAACTTCAAGATGTCATTTGTCTTTCAGAATTTACTATCCTGCGTGTTAAACGTCCTGGCGTTTTTTATTATTAGGCCTCTCCCTGCCATTTGATGAATAATAAAACAGCATATTTTTATTCCTTTTAAGATGCATATGTTATTTGTTTCAAACTCAAAAAGGCACCAATAACGGCCTTTACCAGAGGAATTCGTGAATATTTTTTATGCAGTTTCTAGAATCAATAATTGGTTGTTCATGTTTGATCCGATTTGTTTAGGGCAAAACAAAACGTCATTCAAAAATAAAACATCCAGCTCGATGAAGTGGTAACAATTAAACAAATGAAACAGACTATCAATCATCATTTTCAAATCACTAATGTAATGAACGACAGTATCACCGCTGAAGCTACAAGACTTTATGAATGAATTTCTTATGCACACTTCTTATCTTGTGACCATTCACTTCAACGGCAGCAAAACAACTAACACAAAACTCACACTAGTACCTTAGGCCCTCTTATAATTATTCCTCGGCTCCACTTTTAGAGGAAAATAATAGAAAGAAAAAACACACTTAAAATACAAGGCAAATAAACACCAATTCCTAAAAAATTTATAGATTTGTGCTTCTAAATTCACCTAACAACCTTACAGTCAAGCCTAATTTCTTGACCACCACCGGTGATGCTACTCATCTTGATCATGGACATCACGAAAGCCTTCTCAAACTCTTCCTTGGAGCTTGCGAATTTCGAGACCAATGCCTTTGTCTTTGGGGAGGTGAGTAGAGCTTGGTCCGAGGAGAACACACTCTTCCGTTGGAGAAGTAGCTTGTAGTACGCGTTGTCGAAAATCGTTGCAGTAGAATCCAAGGTTGCCCCGGCATTTTTCACCTTGTTGTGAGCGGCACAAACACTCCTCAGGCTGGACGCAAATGATGGGTGCAAAGTTGGGTCAACGTCGAGGCTCGCGTTGAAGTTGTGGATTCGGTTTTGGAACGATGAACAATGAGCAAACCCAAGAGTGTGCCCTCCTAAATTAAACCAAAATAGATAATTATATATTTTGTTACTTCTCTTTTTTCAATTGTATTAGAAAAAACGTAAGAAGAATTTGTTGCTAAGATACATAAAAATACTATGTTAGCATTGCATAATTTTAAACGTTAGATTTGCGAACTATTTGATTCGATATGATTGGTGATTTGATCTAACGGTTAATAGTAATTGTACCTGAGAGAGCCACTAGATCTGTGACAGAGAGGCCTCGTTGAGCAAAGTTTTGTGTTAGTTGGGAGATGTTGAAAGTGGGAGCTGGTAATTGTCTGGTCTCGGTTGCCTTGGATATTCTCCCATCTTTACGCCCTTTTGGCACCTCCCAAGTGGGACCTCCAGACTATACAGCACAACAAAAATTGTGTGTAAGATTAGAATGTTAGTACTTGTACTATAAATGGAACAGTTGTACCAAATTGGAGTTTAGCAACTGGTAATACTATTGGAACATAGTCAGATACTTTTACTATGTCAGTCAATGAATCATATATACTATGTTAATATCAATACTGTTATATTATTTTTCTAGTGCTAGTTTAATCACCAGAGCGACGGCGTCGCGAGCAGCGATAGCTAAGATGTCAGCGCAGGATACGACACCGGGGCACAAAGCTTCTACGGCCTTCTTTGCATTGTCAATGACATAGAAAGCATGCAAAGAAATGTTGGGAGGTCCATCTTTTTCAGCTGTGTTCTTTCCTTTGGATTCCAGCAAAACAGAAGCGTCACAACCCTTTTGACACAAAAACAAGAATACATGCATGTCACCTACTAACCAAAAATGACCAATTGATCCGAAGTATATAAATAATGTGTACTTATAATATATGGTGATCAGTTATTTACTCTGATGAAGCAATCATGAAAGTGCATGCGAAGCAGCGCGGCAGGGACTGTTTTGTCATTTGACATGGCTTTCTTTACAGCCTTGGTGACGGCAGGCTCCAACTGTGGACATGTGTGGTCATAGTAGTTCAAATTAAGTGCATTGACAAATGATGAAATTGAAAGCAAGACAAGAAGAGAAAAAATGAGTAATGAAACTATGGCTGCCATGGTTGAGAATGAGAGGGACTTTTCTTTTTTTTTGAGGTGTTTTTTTTTTTTTTTTTTTTTTTTTTTTTTTTTTTTTTTTTTTTTTTTTTTGTTCGGCTTGGTTTCTAGCTATTTAGTTACTGAATTATGGTGGTTTTGTTTAAGTGTGAGAAAGGACTTGAGAGGAGAGTGGTATATATAGGGGAGGAAGTCAGAGACAAGAGAGACTTGGAGTCGTTATTAAAGGATATGGTTGTTAAAAAATTTGGTGATCAATAAATCCACCACTTAGTGGAGTAGTATTTTTGAAGCAATGATCATAAGATTACAAACGAAGTCCTATCATATTCTTGTTCTTCGTTTATAATGTGACAACATCAATCTGTTAAAAGTTCTCAAAACCTAATTAAAAAAAAAAAAAAGGATTGTAAAATGTTTGACTGTTTTTGTATTTGGATTTTCTCATTTTGCAAGGGAAATCAAGCGCTATAGCTTCTATATTCCCCACCACATAACTTGATTGAATTTCACTAAATAAAAAGAACTTGTAATGTGGTTTTAATATAATTATTAAAAAGAATTTCATTCACGTGTTTCATGTACAAGTCCCGGTAGAGTAAAAATTAAAGTATTAATGTAGATTGCGACCATGCAAATTCGGAGATTTTCAGAATCACTTTTTGCTAAATCGCTGGATGCTTTTTGGGGTGCTTAGAAACTAAGCACAACAAATTTATTCTCGTAAAATTATTAACTAAAGTGATCCAACAAGATATACAAAAAAAAAAAAAAAAAAAAAAAAAAAAAAAAAAAAAAAAAAAAACTATATGTTTGGTGGATAGGGTTGAACGAATAAAGGCCTCTTTGCTTAGTTTAAGCTTTAGATTAATAAGTTCAATTCAACGGCTTTCCACGTCTTTGTCAACAACTCATAATTCTAGATAACAAATTCACAAATGATTTTGGCTTTGTTACGGGTTTTCCTTTTTCTTATTTTTCTTTTGCGGGGAGAGCTGGTAGAGCTCATAGAAATGCTTGTCTTTGACATTATTATTTATTTTTAGAAAATAAGTAAGATTCTCTAGACTAAAATAGTGCTTTGCGCTCTCTAAATAATGACATCTTAACGGCTTTTTCGGTAGAAAGTCATTTTTCCTAATCGAAAAAGAAAGAATGAAAGAAAGAAGGTCGGGGGGTAATTGAAGCTTAACTATGGGCCGAGTGACGTAGTGGGCCAGTGGCATGTCTGCATTAGACCAAGCACTTGGGCTCTCTCTTTACACATATAGCAAAATGTCATCAAATGTCAATGGTAGAGTTAATATAGTAAAATTTTAAAATATTATAAAAATAACAAAATTTTGATATCATTATATAGTAAAAAATGTGACACTATTATCATAATCACTATGTCGTTTTTTTATATTTAAAATATTCTGAAAATTCGGCTAAATTTCAACGCAAGGTACCAAAGTTTGCCATGGACAGTAATTATCTCCAGGAAACTTAAATATGGGCTGCTAAGCATCCAATTAATTGAGGCCCAATTAAGCTGGGCTAGCCCATGTCTCAACAGGCCTCTAAGCCATTACCCATATGGTCCATGTGAATGAATCCAAATAATGGTCTGGCAATTGCAAAGCTTTTTATAGACAAACATCAAAAAAATTGATGTCACAATCAATTGCAAAGCTTTTTTTCACTCAGTTCGAAGGAGTTTAAATGCAGAGACTTCATAAAACATAACAGTCCAAAGAATGATAAAAGATTTCAAAAGCACATTTAATTCAGAACAGTATGACTATTACAACAAGATCCATATTACAAGCATTATAAAATTGTGAAATTAAATATTTCTACATGTTGAAGATGAAGATACACCTTTCATGCACCTCTTATTTCAGTGCTATAACAAATACAAAATCCACACAATAACAGGAGAGAGACCCTTTTCACTCTTTTGGTTAAGAAAATTGCCATAACAACTTCAACCATCTGATTGGATGACTGGAAAATAGCGGCGGGCTGCTTCAGGAAAATATCAAGCACGCCTCTGCCAATCTGAGTCAGACCCTAAACCCCAAATCCTAAGTCTTATTGAGCTTAGAATTGAATAGAGCTGGAGAAGGTTTGGCCGAAGCACCAATTTGAGGGAACGACGTTTATGAAATCTCTAGTCGCACCATCACTAGTGACAATCCTAAAAGATAAAGATTGACCGTTGAGATACGAGTTGGACTGCCAGTTAGCTCCCCAATTCCTTGACATGGCCATCCATCCGGTTTTTGAGCCTTTAATGGACACGGATTTAATGTCTCCAGCCCCTCCTACATTTGAGATCAAAACCAGCTCAAAGTAGTTCTTTCCATTCATCGTGAATCTAACTCCACCACGCTTCCTGCATGGAACCCTGCACCAACAAAACAATATCAATACATAAACTAATAAAATAATTGAGATTTTGATCACTAATTCTCTTAAAAACTATAGTTTAGGATGTATGCTAATATTGAGTATCACAATTCTCCACTCTTAAGTAGTTAGTAAGGATGGCGTTACTATTATAGGACAGTACTAACATGTTAACGCATATGAGAAAAGTAAAAATAAAAAATAAATACCTTCTGTACTTGACGGGGATGATACCGCCCCTGTAAATTCCGATCTTTTCCCAAGCAGGCTGGGCCATGTCAAAGTGCTTAAGGGGTGGGTTGCACCAGCCTCCATTGTCGTTTGCAAGAGCATAGTTTGGAGGGCAAAAGTTGGTTGCAGTAACGGTCACATATTTTCCTTTGACGCACCATCTAGAGTCCGATTGATAGTCACAAGTGATCTGAAAACATTGCCCACATGAAGCCCCATCATTGAACAAAGCAGTACTTAACGCGGCAGTCCTAGTCCCGTACCCTGTGGAATACAAGTTACCATACCCACAAGCCCCACCTACAAAAAACAAACCCAAGTTATAACTCAACATTTCAAAAGTTATTCATTATTACAATTCACTAATGAGCACATTATCATCACCAAAAAGAAAATACTGAAAAAAAAAAAAAGTTACATACCCATAGTTCCCGAGGCATCACTTCCTCCATAAAATGTAGCATGACCTTGTTTCCAAGCAGATGGCGCAAATGCACCAACTTTGATGGACATATTGCATAGTCCAACCAAGATAGACAATGCAAAAATGAGCTTTGCCATTTGGTGATTGATGGGTTTAACCCCAAATGCCCAATACAGAAGTGGAGGAGAGAAAAATGAGATTGAAGATGGATGAGGAGATTGGGAATGTTATTTACATTTATTGTCATTTCCAAGCAGGAGTGAGTGCTTTAAATAAGGGACCAGGCCAAGTAATGCAACAACCTCGCATGTGAGCTCTGCAACTAGAGAGTAACTAATATAGAATTTTGTGTGTTTTTTTATTGAATTTATTTTTTAATTGAATTATCTATGCAAAGTCTGAAGAGTTTTCTGAGCCTCATTCAATTATTCCCACGTTCTCTTGCCCTTTCTAACACACACCCACATGCTTTTCCACAACAGAGGAGCCGTGTACAAATCAAAGATCCACAATTCACAACTGTCCAATTCTTGAGGTGGTTTTTTTTTTTAAAAAAAAGCTGTTGGTTGTTTCTATTTGAAGATAAAGTCTTATAACTAAATGGGGGGGTTTTGTGATGGAATATTTTGCTTTAGATCATATCAAATTATCATTCAACATCACATGTTACTACCTTAACCTTATTTGATACATTGAAATTGTTTTTTCATGTGCCATGCGCATGACCCCCATATCGAGATTGGACGGCAATGACAAAACAAAATAAAGAGAGAGAGAGTGAGAGAGTGAGAGTATTGTATAGGTGTCTAGCTTTCTCTCAAACCATTAACCCCTGCCGTTGATTTTGATTTTTGGGAAAATATTAATTGGACTGATAAGGCGCCGCCAATTATGGGCTCTTATGATCTTTATTTTGTCCAATTATATATGGTAATATCTACCTATATATATGGTAATATCTGCCTGAATGGGCACACATAGCAAATGTGATCAATCTTTTTGTCTCATTTATATTATGTAAACCGATTAATTCTTGACTATCTTCCAGATCAACTATCTTAATTAAAGTTGCATGTGATTAGAGCACCGTCAAGGAAATCCACAGACAAGTAGAGAGAGAAAGCCCATGGACTTTGATTAATTTATTTAAAGGCCAAATCACAAGTGACCATGAGTAATCACCGTCAAGTAAGAAAATATACCGAGGAAAAAGTGGGGCGGAATTGAAAACACATGCAAATTGCAACTCCATACGTAAGTTTGGGAAAAAGTGGGGCGGAATTGAAAACACATGACCCCATGAAATTCCCCCCCCCATTGTTGTGTTTTTTTTTTTTTTTTTTTTTTTTTTTTTTTTTTTTTTTGTTTCCCTTGCAACTGTTTGCGCATTATCAGGCATGACACTTAAAAACGTTGAACAAGTCGTTCATGAAACTTGATGGTAGTGTTTATTTAGCACAAGATGATTGGTTTCACATTAGACTCAAATGATTGGGGTCGTTGGATGCACATGGCATTGAAGACTTTATGGGCTTTCAAACTATTAAGTTAATGGTTGGTGGGAGAACTCTTCAAAGTTGGCACATTCTTTAACGTATTTGTTTTCCTTGATTTCTCTCAGATATAAGGTAGTTGATCGCTCAAGGGAGAGATCCTTGTAGAGAGAGAGAGAGAGAGAGAGATTCTTATTTTATTTTGTACATTTTTAGTTTCATAAGTTGACTATTTAAAGCTTTTTGCGTTTATTAGGGAGGAAGCAAGCATTGTTTATATTTAGGAAATATAAAATATCGGGCGTGATGATTGGTTTTGTAACCGGTCAACATTTCTCCTGCACATCAAGATTAAAGCCCCTATCTGATAAGTAAGCCACAGGTGAATCAAAATAAGAGCTCCTCTATATTTCCCAAGTTTAAGCATATGAATTATGAAGGTAGAATACATAAAAAGACCAGCAGCTCTGCATTGACAAATATGACGAAGAGATGATACGCCTGTGGCTTTTAGGGATCAAATTAAGTTTAGTGAGGTTACACTTTAGTTTGGGTGGAAAATATCCTCATTGTCTTGGGGAAAATACACATATATCTACATATTGTGTATATATATATATATATAGCGTCACTCTTTTGCTTTAGGCTGCTTCGGTAGGTATGTTACCGTTATTTCAAGTGGTTTGCTTTTTTGCTCCAACAGCAAACCAAAAACAAAAAAATTCTTAAATTTGAGAACCACCGGTCCGCCAATTATCTACGACCTTTAACATGTATGATTAAAGTCAAATACCCTAAGTCAACATTCCAATTCCACACACTAACCTTAAATTATTATAATAAACAAAAAAACAAAAAAAAAAAAAAAGCAGACCTGTAATCGAAATTATGTACCAATAAAATTCTACAAGCACGTCTGTTAAACCGCATGATTTACAAATAAACGATATACAAACAAGGAAAAAAGGAGACAAACGACTGGATTCCTTTGTATTATTAGAACTCCAATACGATCAAATACCAAAGCAAAACAGGCAAGAAGTGAAAAAAGGACAAAGCCAAACAACATTCAGACATAAACCACCACGCCACTGCAGAGAAACAAGACATGAAATACAGCTTATATTATACTTTAAAACTAAAGAAGAATACGCCTGAAACTCTTCAAACAAAAATAAAAGAATGCGCTGCTGAATCCGAATACATAACTAGAGCTGTTCGTAAACGGACCAGGAGGGGGAAAAAGAAAAAGAAAAAAAGGCGGGAAACGCTTACAACTGTTCAAACATCTCACCTACGTCTACTACCAAAAAAGGGCTTGCCTCATACGACAGCGGCTCCAAACTAATAGTCTACAGTAAACGACCCTAGAGACTAGAGTTAACATCAGTTGTCCAGGATAAACAAAAAGGAAAAATAAAATAACTTTTTTTTTCTGCTAAAAATAAATAACGATATTTAGTGAACACAGAGACATCATCGGGGCATTTGCATTGCATTGCATCCACGAGAGCACCCATTTTAGCATCCTACGCAGATACCTGGATCGGCACATTAGATCTAAACCCACGGCCCCTTCCACGGGATCCCCTACCACGGCCACGACCTGCAGAAATTGTCATAAAACAGTTAAAATTGTGTGAACAATCTGCAGAATATAATTCTGCGAGCAAAAAGCATCATATTAACTAAAGCGTACAAAATATTTACTATGAATTAATCATTGATATATTCAGTATAGACACACACACAGAGTTTGTCTTTCATTACAACAGAAAGTGTCTAAAATCAAATAGCATAAACGCTCATTAAGATGGAAGAATAATAGCTATTAATTAATGTTTTACTCTTAAGACCCACAACGGCAAAGTGCATAGGGAAAGGTAGTTGACATGGGATTCAGGGTTCAAGTGTCTTGTTAAATTCAATAGACGTCCAATAACATGGCACATCGTCACTTATATGAGCAACCCTCTTTTTTCCTGAGAATCATAACACCTGCGTGGCCATTAAGGAATTTGATACTGATCCAACTCAACAAAAATATAAATCTTGCGTTATATATAAAGGACGAAGACTTAAGTTCTGATAATTGGTGCATAAGCCACATCACCATTCTATTCACGCAAGTTGCAATAAAAGAATAAACATTTAAGTATTTGCACATACCACGACCTTGGAATGGGGCTTCTTGATTGTAACCTCCGTCTTGCTGTATATCTGGAGTTCCATTATACCCTCCCCTTCCACGGCCACGGAAACTTCGTCCTCTCCCACGACCTCTAGGCCCTCGCCCTCTAACATTGTTCCGATTCACGTCCCAACCTCCATCATCATATTCAGCAGAAACAAAACCATTCCCTAAAATAAAATGCAACTCCCAAATCAAGAACCTTATCATTTTGATGCCACTAATACTAGATATCCAGTGTCCTAATTCGGAAAGAGAATCAACTAGTATACACTGTTAACAAATAAAAGATCCCAAAGATCACCATGATATCCTCAAACGACTTATAACACATATATCCTTCCAGTAACTTTCTAGTTTCTACTTTCTACAATAACGGCTACCCAACAAAGCTAAATTATGCCCGAGATGACAAAGCTAGCTAAGGCAAGCAACCTAATACAAAAATTAACCCACATTCCAAAACCAGCAATAACCCATTCACTAGCATAAGGACCCAAAGCTGTAATATGAAAGCGTAACATGTTACCAATCACACATCCCCTGCTTACCTCTAGTCCTTGGCCTTCCTCTGTTGCCGCGGCCCCGACCTCGACCATTTGGTGAACCCTCTGAAATAGAAGTTTAATGATTATGAATAGTTTTTTTATCACGTTTTTAAGAAATAAAACATTTTTATGAACCCATCTTTGTTTATTGTGCGGCGATTAGAAATAAGCTTGTTATTTCTTTTAACATTTTCAGAACCCAACCAAAAACATTTAAATAAAAAATATATGGAAGAAAATGACTATCACTAAAAGTGGTTCACCTCCTTCATAATCAAATTCGGTCAATGCCTTCACCTGATCAGCAGGTAATGGGGGCTGGTACCTGAGGAGAGCAGTAAGCTATGAGCATTAGTAGACCTTTATAATCTACATAAGTAATTGAAAAATTAATATAAAAACGGCTGCATAGTTCCTGCAAGGAAAAAAGCGTAAAAGGCGCAATTACTCACCCAGGAGACGTCTTGTTCAATTCCTTCTTTGAAAGGGTTATTACAATCATGGAAACATGCCTGGTGGTCTCCAAACTGAGACAATAAATAAGAATTGTAAGGCATCATAATATGATAAAAAAACATATAATCGACAAACAACTCTCTATCATATGGCAAAAGCAAGATTTTCTTACGGCAAGAGGCCTTCCTCTAGGGGCTCCCATGTATCAGTGATGTCAGTGGATCCAATTGTAGTAGTCTGATGAAGACCAACAATTCTTCTCTGCAACACAAATATATATATATATGAAATTTATCAATGTAAAAAGGTAAGTAGATAATGAGTCAAACTAATCCATCTAAAATTTACAAAATGAAACTAGAACCTTGATCAACTCCACTATGGTCACTGTCTTGTTGATAGCTCTTCCCATTGCCTTAAAAACAATTTCGTTTGATCCTTTTTCCTGCAAAATAACACATCAATATAAGCAAACGGATTAAAAAAAAAGGATTATGCTAGGGCTAGCCTCCTAGCTGTGCAAAATGTCTTTCTTGAGTAGCATTATCACAAAAGCAATTGCATGCTCAGAAAATGGTAAAGACAGGTCATATTTTAAAAAGTGGCAAGGACCAGCATTTGGACAATTAAAGAACCCATGTAAACACAGAAACGGAATATATTTCATCCAATAGCACATAAGGATCTATGGGAAGGCTACATGTAGCACCATGTTTAGTCGACTATCCTAAAAACTTCAAGATCTCTAGTTTTACATATTCATTCCGAAAGTCACGTTTATCCTGGAAATCCATTAGCCAAATAGGCAAATACCCTGGGCATACCGCGACCAATTCTCAAAACTTGGCCGCCAAAAAATATCAAAAAGGTTGAAATATAATTCTAAGCAAACAATGTCAATTAGGAAACGTTTCAAACGCTCTGCCTCAACAATCTTTAACCACTAAGTTGAACAATTGTTACTTTATAGCTTGTTTGATAGGAGGGAAAAGGGACGGGAATTGAATGGGCGACGGATTTCAAATCATCCGCTTTTAATCTCCGCTAACATGGAGAGATTACGGAAGAGAATTCATACCAAAAACAATAAGAGAAAAGCTCTCCCCTTTCCTCTTCATATTCCTCACCCAGGTAACATTCCTTTCATTCCCTCCTATTCTCTT